GTAAAGAAGTGAAGAAAGAAACTAAAGTTCTATGAGAAAGGAAGCCAGGGGTCTAGCTTTCCCCAAATATGCATGATTTCTGAACTGGAAGAATCCCCTTGACAGGTATGGTTTTACTGAAAGTAGCTTAGGACTTCAATAGTCCCTCCACCTGCAAATGCAGCCTTGTTATTGGTCCATAGGAAAGCTTCTTAGAAACTGGCAACGCACTGGGTGAAAATGTCAGCCTGGGGCAGAAATCTACCCCCCATTCTAAATGCGGAATTAAAACAAAACAAAACAAAATGTGAGACTGTAGGATCTTTGCAAAGTGTTTGCATATACCATAGCTTGGTGTCAACGGTGGCCTTTTTGGTGAAAGTTTTAAGAGAGGATGCAGAACATTTGAAAATAGAACAGCAACCCACCCTCCTCCTTTCCTTTTACGGATAAATTCTGAAAGGTTTGTACATTAAAACTCAGAAGAACTCAAAGCAGCTGTTTGAAAGTATAGTTGCTATCTGAGATGCAAGCTAGTTTTGCAGCATTGAGCTTGTTCTGGGGTGGCAGGATGGCTAAGTAGATAAAGTTTAGTGACTTGAGTTTGAGCCCTAGAACTCATATAAAAGTGGAAGGAGAGAACCAGCTTCACAGAACTGTCTTATCCCCAAATGTGTGTTGTGGTACACACACACATTCACACACACACACATTCACACACACACACCATGCATACACAGTAATATGAAGAAAAGAAAAACTGCTTTAAAGTTTGTGCTGAGTAGACATCTGAAAAGTAAGAATTAGGAAAAGGGCTAGGTTCAAATCAAAACACTTCTTTCTAAACCAAAACTACTTTTAAGTGGAATCAAGCTATCCAATACCTCTCTGGCCCTAGATCAATGTTAATAATGTCTCGAACCTTGGCTAATGAATATCAAAATGATGTTGGTATTTGCAAATATGTACCGTTTACCCCCGCCTTCATGTTCACACTATTGCTCAAGAATATTCCAAATTTGGGGGGGGAGAAGTGCTGCTGGTTGCTGGCTGGTGGACCCCATTCCCCACTATGAGAAGACACTAATGACAGCTCCTTCCTGGGCTGACACTTATCTTCTGGAATTTATGGCTTATTTCTCTGCTGGTTGCTGGCTGCTGGCTATAATTCATTACAAGGAGCCATCAGCAAGCCCAAGATGCTGACTGGAGGCTGTCATCTCTAGAGAAAGCTATGTGAGTGATGAATCTTGCCTGTGTGTGTCCCTTTGTTCTGGAACCTCTTGGTTGTTTTCTAAAAAACAACATCTTTTAGTTACCCTCAGGGACTCCAGTGGAGATATCAACCATCTGTTAAATAAAAGGACTAGGAAACTTGAGCACAAAAATATCGACACAAAGAACAATTTGCATATTTGCTTGTGGTTGATTCATACGGCCCAGTTCTGAACTGATGAAGCGCTTTGCTAAATGTTCACTTTAGAGGAGGAAAGAAAATAGCAAAATGCATGCAAACGAAGTCAAAAAGAAAGAAATTCATTTTTTGCATTTATTTGTCTTTGTGAGTGCCTGTGTATGTATATGCCTGTGGAGGTCAGACAATAACAATAGGAGTTGGTTCTCTCCTTCCACTGTGTGGGTTCTGGGAATCGAACTCAAGTTTTCAGGCTTGGAGGAAAGCACCTTTACCCACTGAGGCATCTCACCGGCCCAAAAGAAATTTCATTACATATTTATTTTGTGTTTCCTTTAAATTCATTTCATAATCCTGAATAGAGGGAGCTTACTCTAAATTTCAAACACATGTCCATGAATGTTCATAGGGATTTTGGTTATATAAAATAGGTATGTCTTCGTAATTATTATTAAAATATAACTAAAATAGGCTGTGTTCCAGTTTTGTCTCAGATGATCCATTGATCATTAAATAAATGTCACCAGTAACCTGTCTACCCCATCCATCCCTCTGAAGCCAATAACAAGCTCAAAGTTCTTAACCAAAGTGTGATATTCCCCATTGAAGAGGAGGCTGAAAGAATGTAAGAACTAGAGTATGAGGGGAGTGCTGTGACATGCTGTCTACTGGACATGACACAGCCAGCACAATCATGAACTCACAGCAGCTGTGGTCACCTGCATGAGACCTACACAAAACCAGTACAAGATCAAGCCAGCCAAAATTTCAGCTGGAAGAGGTGCCATCCCTTACTAAGGAGCTATTGGCAGTTGAAAGCTGTTGGAAGAGAGATAACCATTCTTTTTTTAGGGTATGGCCACTGGTAGATTTCCAACGTTCCATCAGATGACCCCACACCCATGCACATATAGGCAGCACTAATTGGGCTCAGTGGATTATCAAAAAGGAAAAGAATGAGGAGGAGGAGATGGAGGAAGAGGAAGAAGAAGGGAAGGAGGAGGAGATAGAGGAGAAGGAAGAGATGGAGGAGGAAGAGGAGGAGAGGAGGAGGAAGTGAGAGAAGAGGAGGAGGAGGAGACAGGAAGTTGGGAAGGGGATGTGTTGCGGGAATAAGGAGTTGGAGGGGGAAATGGGGGGGATATAATCATATTTCATTGTATAATTTATGAAATTATCAAGAATAAGGAAAAATGTTTAAAAAATAAAATAATAAAATAAACAGCATATGATATTCTCTTAGACAAAGACCTTTATACCATCCAGATTTCATCTGCTGAGATGTGAATAAAAGATGTCTCTTTCTGAGTGGTCATTTTTGGCTCAGGATGAACAATTTGTGCATATTACAGTTAACACCCAGGCCACAAAAATACATTTAAACCACCAAAAATGAAGTAATCAGACCTCCTTAAACATTTCACCATCTGGGCAAATAACACTCCCAGGGCCAGGACTGTTACCTAAGAAAAATTTTAAGTGTGTTACCCAAGCCTGTGAGGCAACAGGTAGATAGATTTTGTGCCAATTAGAAAGTGTTATGATTGGCACACTGGTAAACTCTAAAACTGCAGTTTAATGGAAATGTTGGCTGTCGTCCCCAAAGTACATTGCAAGGGCCTCTCAAAACCTTAGAATTACAAAGGGCTGAATGGAAGTTTTCATCTGCAGGGAACTCAGAAGATTCAATGGTAACACAAGGACTTTGTCAGGTGTCTCAGCTCTTAATCCAGAGTCCCTTCTTCCACAGCCTCCTTCGTTAGGTTTTTCAGGATCTGATCCTGAAGGTCCACTTGACAGACTCAAGCCCAGGGTCCAGAGGGGACAGTCCTGACAAGGGAGAGGCTTGGGGAGCCCAGATATATCAGGGCCCCTCAACAGCCAACCTGCTAGGCCCCATATTAGAGCACAATGCTGGAATTCTGCCAGCAGGCTGATTCCCCAACCATGGAGGAGGGGGTGACATCCAACTGTAACATCCAATTATTCCCAGTGGGTGGGTGAAGCAAGCAGCCCTTTGGGTTTTGGGAGTCTATGAAACCAGATCCTGAATGTTTTAGGCTTGGCTCTATGGTACACACTTTGCCCCAGGTCATTCTTTCCATAAGTTTTAGGCCCAAGTGTATTTTAAGGTAAATCTATTCCACATGCTTCTGATTCATTTATACTGAACTCATCAGTGATGTTTTGAAGGGGCAATCCAAGAACCAAGAAACCCTCTGGGCCTGCTTCTGTGACGTCTTTCAGTGACTTTTTCTTAGAAGCAGGAAGCCACATTTGGACAATGACAACTAAAAATGTAAGCCCTAGGGATTTGAGTCTGGTTCAAATGTAGCACCTTGCAAACCAACAGACTCAGAAACCACCAAGTTTACAAAACAAACAAAAAAACTAAAAAACCTTCTGTGTCACAAGGAATGTTGAGCCCACACTGTGCCGAGCCTGGGTCAGTGGTTCTGGTTGCTCCATCGATGAAGAAGCTCAGTGTTTCTAACTCTGCCCTTGTCCCTATGCCTCCCCACAGCCAGGGGTGGAGGGCACCTCTGGCCTTTGGTCTGCAGAGAGTATGGCTGAGGCCACATGTTGATAAGTCTGAAGGAATTCACCCTTTTCTCCAAGCTTCCAAACAGGAGTTTCTGTGCCACTTGGGTGGATGCTATTGATGCCATTTGAGTCTTCCAGAAGGCATACTGTTGGGCATAGTTTGGATGGGCTTAGTTTTAGAGGAAAAAAATAAACCAGAGCTGTGGTGTGTGGTGTAGGGTAAGGCACGCTTTGTGGGCGAAAGACGGCAGGATAAGGCTATTCAGACGTTAGCAATTATGTTCTTTCTCTCTGCTGAAGGACCTCACAAAGGATCTTTGAATTGCTTACTAATTTTGGGGTCCAGGGTACAGCTGCTGGTGCCTGGGAAGCATTTAGTAAATATATTACTAACAGGTAGGATAGAAGTACCCACAGCCTGATCCTGCAGGCTCAACTTTGGCTCTTATTGAATGCATTTTTCTCCTTCTGTAGCCTCCAGTCCATTCCTGGGACAGACCATGAAGGTAGCTGTCTGCCCTGGTATCCTGTCTGTATCTCTGCCTCGGGAAATCCAGAGTTCCTATTGGGGCAGGGATTGGGGGATGACAGGCTCTGAAAGGAATTGCATGGATCTTCTGACTTGAGCCACACTTGTTGGCCTCACTAACAATTCATCCTCGACTCTGCAATTTATTCATCTTTTAAAATCCTGATGTCCAGGCCCTACCCAGGACCAACAACATCAGTCTCTGGGATGGGTCCTGCCTAATTAGTTTTCCCTCAAAGCTCTACCAGCTTAAAGGGACTTGAATATATGAATGGCCTGGGAGAGTACCCAAAACAGACCACATAACTGAGAAGCTATGAATGGTTTTCTAGTCCCATGAGATAGGAGTTAGGGTTGATTCTCCACCACCCCCATCAAACAACACTTGTCAACTTGGCCCAGTCATGGAGGATGCTTCAGCACCCAACCCTCACCACTATACACACCCTGAGGCCTTTCCAAGTTAGTGCGCAGGATTCAAACCATCTCCAAGCACCGAATTATTTATGGTGTCAAAATTAACCAAACACAAGATCTCTTCAAATATTTAATCACTTTGGATACCTCTGCCTTCCAACCTAGTTGAGTAAAAATTCTAAAGAAAGCATGATTAAGGCTTGGTCCTTGAAAAAATTGGGCTAGGATGGAGGAAAGGCTGAAGCTGGGAAGACAGAACAGAACATATGTCTCGAGGCCTTTTGAAGGAATCTTACCACTTTAAAAACTCAAAATGAACAGGAAAAGGTTAAACAGTTATACAAATTTAAGGACAACTAAAACTTCTTTTCAGCTGAAAATCAGACATGGTTTTGAAAGACTCTTTAAAAACCTTAGATCCTGCTGTGGTTTGTTTTCATAGCCTTCTCAGCACACGCAAAAAGCAAACTAGCTCTACCCAGCATGCCCCGTGAGCTCTTGGGGACTTTGCAAAGCAGTAATGCAGCGAGAGACAGAGGAAGGAGTGAAGAGGTGAGAGCAAGCTGCTCAGTCTTGGCACAGAGACTCATACCCCAGCAAACCTAACCAATTTTCTTTGAAAAAGATAGATATAAACTGAAGGACTTGAAGAGTCACCAGCAATCTCACATCAGGGACCGAGGGTAACACTTTTGGATAACTCATCAAGGGAACTGGGGGCAGAATGTCCTTCAGAATGACAGTCTATAGTATAGGTAGGAGTCAGGACAGGCTGACGCCCCAGGGAGATGCTCAGCAGGAATGGTGCAATGTCTGTCTCGCTCTCATTCTTTCTGGTTTCCTCTCTCCTCCTGTCCCTTGGTGCTGGTGAGAGGCAGTGTCAGAAGCCCTAGTTTGAGGCTCAGAATGGGTACTGCGACACATATATCCTCAGTCGGATCACAGAGCTGCCTCTGAAGTTGATGACAGTGTTAACAGTGATCATCTCCAAGTCCAGCTGGATGTCCCGGGGCCCTTTAATAGGGCGTGTCATCACCAAGGTGGCACTAATGGGGCCTGTTTGCTGTGAACAGAATCAGAAGACACTAGTTAGCAGAAGGTATGGATGCTGGTACACAGCCTGAGTCAGGCTGGCCTCAAACTCACTGTGTTGCTGAAGATGACCTTGAACTTCTTCTGATCCTCTTGATCCTTCCCTCCTAAAGTGCTGGGATTACAGATGCAGATGCACACCACCATTCCCAGTTTATGGGATGCTGGGAATAAAACCCAGGACTTTGTGCATGCTAAGCTCTACCAACTGAGCTATGTAGCCAGCCCCTGCTCAGCCTCTACATTATAATAAGTTTTCTAGAGAAAATTTAAAGTATATGGGATGATGCAAGTGTTAACGTTATTGGGAGGGGAGTGCTTGTACATGTGTTTGTGGAGGCCAGAGGTCAACCTCAGGTGTCCTTCTTAAGGAGCTGCCCTTGTTTTTCAGGCAAGGTCTTTTACTGGGACCTGGGGCTCACTCATTCTGCTAGGCTGGCTGGCTAACAAGTGCCAGGGCTCTCCCGTGTCCATCTCCCTAAAACTGGGATTATACGTACATGCTATTGAGCCTTGCTTTTCATGTGGGTATGGGGATTGAACTCAGGTCCTCATGCTTTTGAGGCAAACATTTTCCTGACTGAGCCATTTCCCCAGGCTCCTGCTACTCCATTTTAATAAGGAACTTGATTATCAGTGGAGTGTGACATCCCTGGGGGTCTTGGAACAAATTCCTCATAAACAGAAAGGCATGTTTGTGACTGCATGATTTGGAGCTGTCACCTCTTAGGGCTGATTCTAAAGTTAGGGTTCAGACCAGATTAGTAATTCCCAAACAAATTATATCAAAATCACCTGAGATGCTTAAATAACAACTAATAATAATAATAATTCCACAAGCCATTCAGGGATTTTCTAGTTCAGTAGTACATTTTTAGGAATTTGTTAAAAGCCCACATCTGGAAACCCTGTAGTCACCTGCAATGTCACTGTTTTGTAGCTCTATCACTGAAATCCTAATAAATTCATGTAAACTTTTCTCAACTATAGAATGTTTTTCTAGAATTTTCAAAGTTACACAGAGAAAGAGCACTGGCATCAACTGAGCACCACCGAGTGAGGACACACTTCCAGCCTCTTTTACATACATCCACTTATTCACTTCTCATAAAAACCCTCAAAGGCCTTGTACTAGCAGCATCAGTGTGTACAGAACTTGTCAGAAATGTGGTCAGGCTCCACCTGAGATCTGCTGAGCCAGAATCTGTAGTTCAACACAACCCCAGGTGATTTGTATACCCAGTAACAATTGAAAGGTGTGATCTAAAAGCACCGGATCCTGGTGGCAGACCCCAGCTGCCCTTACCTAACGTCTATCAGAAGAGCATATCTCATTCTTTCATTTTATAAACAAGCAAAGGCCCAGTGGGGATAAATAATGGTTTAGGGTCACCCAGGGGTAAAGCTGGGATTTGCATTTGGGTTTTCCCCCTGGCTGCAAACACCATTCCCCTTGTCATTATTCAGCGATTATCAGAAGAGACTATGTGTTTTGCTTCTCCCTAGCACTGCCCTAAAGAGAGGTGGCCAGGGTCAGTGCAATGGATACAGGACACCTGTAGAGGAAATAACATGAGGAAGAACATGAATAGCCTAGATAATCACTTCCCAGAAGCTGCAGTACCCAGAAAATGAAAAAAGCAGGCTCAGTGAAATCAAGGAACTTGGCTTGTATAAAGGCACAGCAGGCATTTATTCTGTCTCCATAAAGGGAGGGCTCCCCATAAAGTTCAGAACATCCCCAAGGGCTGCCACTAGTACAACAGGGGCAGGGCTGGCAGACAGGTACAGGCCAAACCCTGGACCTGCCTCATCCACTGAGCTATCAGCAGTTACAGCCACATAATCTCTTGGCACAAGCTCTCTGTATTCCCATTAACATCCAAGTAATCAGCACCTCCTTGGGCAGAGGATCTCTTAGATTTCCTTCTTAGCCCTAGCAAAACCTCAGAGTCCCAGGCCAGGACTTCACAGGGGATAGCCAAACAGGGAAATGCCCAAGGCATTCACAGATTCAGCTTCTTACCAGCCTTCACTGTTTTCATGAACAAAGGTCAAGGACTGAGGGACCCTGAGCTAGAAGCAGCTGCACGGAGGGCCATTTGCAGATGTGTCTGAATGGGGAGTGGAGAAAGAAGCTGCCACATTGCTGCTTTGCCTTTCCTGAAAACAGGTCTCCAGTGTATGAAATAATGCTTGACCTTCCCATCTAGAAGTAAACTTGGAAGTCAGTGAGATCAGACTCTCGCAGGGCCAGAGCTATGGCACCCTGGGAAAGGTCTGCCTGCAGCACCTGGGAGGACTCAGTGCCTGCCAGGACACTGATGATAGCCACCTCCCATACCACACTCAGTTCCAGGTGGAGTCTGGGCATTACTGGAATACCTGCCCAAGAGCCCTGATCACTGGGGTGGGCGTTAATTCAAAACAATGATGATAAGACTAGGGACATAGCTCAGTGGTAAAGCATTTGCCTACTATGTATGAGGCTCTGGGTTTGAGCTTTAGGAACACACACACACACACACACACACACACACACACACACACACAATTTGATAATCGTGAGTCCAAGCATTTGGCTACAGCTTTTGCCTATTTCTTATTTAACCATTATAACCCTACACTATAAATAGGTTAAGGATACTCCATAAGGTCACAACACTAGTAAGGTACTAAAATATCTGACTCCAAAAGCTTGCTTTTAACCACTGGGCTCTCTGATAAGGCCTCTGTGCTTCTGTTTCCTGCCGCCCGTTTGGTACGTACTTGACTTGGTTAGGTTGTTCCCTGCTGTCCACCAGGGAGTATGTGCTGGAGCAGAAGCCATAGCCTGTTTATGTCTGAACTCTCAGGAGCCAGCTCAGATCTGCACCTAAGTGATGATGCTGAATGAATGCAGGTGAAAGACTGAGGAGAACCTGCCGAGGTGACCCTAGGAGAGTGAGCCACAGATGGTCCACCATACATCTTCTTGATCCTGTTCTCACGTGCACTCAGGAATCCTCTGAAAAAAGTTGTGGGATGGTACTGTCCAGCATGTGGCAAGCATCCAGGCAGTCAGCTTCTGTGGGCCTTCCGACCTCACTTGATCCCTGGGAGTGTGGACTGAACATCCTTTGGCACTGTCTGGACTCTGTGGTCATTCTCTTTCTCTTGGCCCTATCTGTGTCCCCAAGCGACCTGCTAAAAGCTCATCACCAGTCTTCTGCCAAGGGTTCAGCTTGAGACAGACTGCCAATAGGACTTGTGAAAGGGCTATGCATGTGGAGATGCATGCCTATGCATGTGACGTGTGCAAGTATGTGCATGCACCTGTGAATAAGTATGCATATTTGCATGTCAATGTATGCACATGTGTGGCTTGCCTGCTGAGTGAGATGATGCTTCTCCCAAGTGCTTCTAATGAAAACCAATGAGCCTCAGTGTGGGAGAACCTGAACAGCCACATGACACTTCAGTCCCTTGGGTAACATTCTCAACTTTTCCAAGATCCTGGAGCTCATGGTTTCCTTACAACAGAAGCAGGAGTGGTAGCAGCAGCAGCGGTATCTCCACAACATTTATTGAATACTTTCTACTGTCATTGATGCTAGACTTTTCCTATTATCCCAATTTCTCCTGAGACCCCAACACTGGAAAAGTAGGTCCCAAAAGCCCACATTGGAAAGAGGAACATGCAGGCCCTAAGTAAGGGCTGCCTGTCACCCTGCCACCCTCACCATCAAGCCTGTGTGGGCTACAATGCCAGAAAAAGGGGCTGGCAGGCTTGTGGTGGCAAGTGGTCAACCGGAGGCCCAATTGCCCACACCAAGAATAGTCAGTGTAATGCTCAAAGGCAAATAATAATAATAATAATGATAATAATAAAAACAAATAAGACCATCCTGTGAACACAAGGCATTTGGGTGTCTGCCCCAGACTGGACACTGAGTCCTGTCTACAGTGACTATGGTGTGAGACTCTGGTCATCCATCTCGTCCCCTGCCCCACCTGTGCACCTCACCCCTAATCCTGGAGGTGCCAGAAACACTGCTAACCTTGCTAAGAGGAAAGGAAAAGGCAAAAGGGCTGTAAGGCCAGCCCACTAGGACCCACAAAAAAGACTGGAGGTTGTGGTTGCCATGTAAACCAGAAGGGGTGTTTGGTGAGAGAATGAGACAACAGACAGATATATCACAGGAATGTTCCTGCAAGTCTTAAAGGAGCAAGTTAAGCTGTCACCCAGGTGTGCACAGGTTTGAGGCAGCAGGGGAGAGAAGGGGAACTTCTTGACTGTTTCACCCACTTCTGTCCTGCACATGTGACAAAAAGTATTCAGTGTTCCAGGCACTGTGCTAAGTGGATGACCCCAGCTAATCCTAAAGTAAACACTGTTAGGATCTTCTCTAGACATGAGGAAATGGAGGCTCAGAACAGTTAGATAACGTTCCCACGGTCACAGGGTTGGGATAAACTGAAGAAAGAAGTGATGGAACTCAGCCCAGCCCTGCAGCCCATACCAAACACCTGGGAATGGTCTCTTGGGGAGGCTCCTGGGCTCTGGACAGCCTGACGCTCAGAAGCCCAGCTTCAGCATCTCTGCTTTCAAGTCCTGTGACTTCCCAAGGCCTTTTTTCCAGTCCCAGGCACAGTCTTGAGGACCGTGGCCACCTCCCCCTTCCTTAAGCTCCTCAGCCATTCTTATGACAGGCCCATGCCCCTTTGTTCCCTCGATGTCCTCTTGTCTCTTCTGAATAAAAATGATGGCTTTGGTGCCCTTCTCAAGTCTTCTCAGAAAGACGAAAGCTACATATAGCTTTGAGCTCTGCTTCTAGTGCTCCCCAGCTTCTGGGATACTCTGAGCACAAAGGAAGTTCCCAGGAAAGGAGTCTCCTTCCCATTCACCCAGCTATAGGAAGGTCTCCTCTCCCCACTATCCTGGGAGCTTCTCTCAGTCAGCCACCAGAGTGACTGTGGAGCCTAGGAGGTTTTAGTGGATGGTGTTCAGAGGAATGCCCTGATGCCAAGACAAACCGACCTCTGCAGAGCTCCTGCCCTGCTCTATGTTGGAGGGGCAACTAAGGCAAGAAGAATGAGTGATGAAGTTGTAAACCTCTAAGCAGGGTGAGGCATCTATTCAACCTATAATTGGGACTTCTGTGTCTACAGATGAAGGACATTGCTAGGCTGGGCTAGGCTTACCTTGAGAGGATGGCCAGCCCACCAAGGCTTGGCAGGGGAGAGTTTCTGGGGGACTTCCGTGCTGATGGGTTCAAGGAAAAGACAGACAGACAGGCACACACACCTCCATTTTTTCATCTTGCAGAAGTACCTCCTACCACTCAACCTCTTCTTAAGTCCTTGGTCCTGCTGCCCTCATCTACTGAGCCAGCTTTACACCAGCTCCATAGGTCAGGGAGTGACCTGGTTCTGTTAGGTCACTATTATCTTACCAATAATACATTGATGAGGATCCACCAGACCCTGGGCCTTTTCTATCAAGTTCTTTCTGCTGTTTCTGAGATTGATAGCCCCAGAGGTAGGATTGAAAGATTTAGCTAGGGGATAGGGGAAGGGTTTGGAGCTCAGAGATGGGGCTCTGCCACATCCTGGATTATCTGGATGGGTCCTAAATCTAATCACAAGGGTCCACATAAGAGAGCAACAGAGGAGCTCTGCCTCCGGATAGATCCTCTGGAGAGGAGGCTGTGGAAACTGCTCACTGGACAAGTGCCTAAATGCACAGTACAATATGACAACCATCATTCTCTGCCAGTGTCTATAAAGAAACACGATTACTCCAGGACTGAGGAGATGAAGCTCAGTCATATACATGGCATGGTTGTAAATGTATATAATTTATTTTTATAAATAGTTTAGGATGGGTTCTGTAAGCTTTCTACTGGTATGACTAACTTTATAATCAAATTTTCTACAGTGTCCTACATCTGAGCTAGTCCATGTAGTAATCATAGAGCTCTATAGTGCCAGAGAAGAACTAAATTTTTATTTTAATTAAAGAGTTTAATTATTTTAAGAGTTCTAGTGACTACTGTGCAGTCAATGCCAGCAGAGTCCACTTCCGAGAGCCACATTTTTTTTCTTTTTGCTGGTGTGGAAGTACTATGAGGGGGAGGATTTGGGGGTGTTTCTTCACGGTTGTGGCCTTAGTTTCTGAAAGTACACAGTAGGTACATAATATTTGTTGAGTGAGTGGATGCGTAAGTGGAGGTATGATTGTCTCTTCCGCAGCTTTAGACCTAAGACTGTATCATGACCCAACACTTCACTTCACTGAGGAGGATCCTGGGGCACATGAAAGAAAAGCACCTTTCACAAGACCATGCAGAAGGTGACTCTCGCCTCCTCTTCTCTTTTCGCACTTGCCCATCCTAGCTATATTCTTATCTGTTCCCATGAAACATGTTCCTAGACAAGATCACACACGGCCATTATTAAAGATGGCAATCATTAGGTAGACAGTGATAGAGGAACAAGGTAGAGGATAATAGAATGAAGATGCTTTAATATGTACACATGTGCCTGCACACTCACACACACATGCACACACAAACACATACACCACACACACATAAAAAGACAGTGGCTGTTGTGAAAGATGGCAGCTGCTGCTTACATTCCCTCTTACCCGCATATAGAACTCTCTACCCTCGTTCCCAGATTTGATCTGGAAAATATAATAGGCACCAGGATAGCGGGTTGTTGCTTGCATCTGGAAGATGTCAGCGGGAACAGAGCGTCCTGATACCACATCCATGTCCCGAAACAAGATGGTGAAGGGCTGGTCTCTGCAGCCAGTGTTCTCGGCGGGACACATACAGCGACTGGTGGGAGAGAGATCACATGAGAGCTCAGTAAACCCTATCCAGGCACTGGTTGTGCCTGTTCTCTCCCTTTAAAATATTTTATTTGTTGATTTTTAAAATTTTTTATGTGTATGAGTATGTTGCTTGCATGTGTGTAAGTGCAACTGTGTCATTCAATGCCTGTGGAAGTCAGAAGAGGGTGTCAGATCCCCTGGAATTGGAGTTACAGTCGGTTGTTAGCTGTCATTGTAGGTGCTAGGAATCGAACTTGGATCCACTGCAAGAGCAGCCAGTGCTCTTAATCGTTGAGCCATCTCTCCAGTCCCTGTTTCCTTACTTTAAATGGAAATGAAGCCACCTCACTCTGACCACCTGATGACATAATGGCAGAGCATCTCTGATCCAATCTGTACACTCTAGCAGGTAGATGAGATCTACTTCCTTCCTGGCATCAGATATTTCAGCTACTGGAGAATCTAGATTAGATCTCTGGTTTTCAGAACACTGGAACATTCACGAGCTACATCACACACATCATGTATTTAGGCAGCAAAATGTACCAATTGTCACGTGGCCCTCTCTTCCCAGTCAAAGACATTCATTAAGAATATTTATAAGTGAAAATTATATTAGACCAATGGGTCTTAAGGATCCTTTTACACTATCTATTGCACTTAACTCAGTCTATGTTGAATCTTTTCATCTAATATATAAGAGCTCAGAACTCACCATGTATAAAACACGACATTAGGCACTTTGGAAATGCAGTAATAATAAATACTATCATATCCTCAAGCAGTTTACCTTCCAACAGGAGAAATGTCATAAACACAAATATTTCTTTTTTTTTTTTTTTTTTTTTGGTTTTTTTTTAG